GAATGCCTCCTGCCATGCCCCCTCCACCCATGCCACCAGGCGCTGGTGCCCCTGGCCCACCATCTGGAGCTGCACCCAGTGGAGGACACCCACCGCACCCACATCCCTTCCCACCGGGCGGGATGCATCACCCAGGTAAGGTGTTGGGAACAGGTTGGGCTAGTGGGCAGAGCACTGGACTGGGCACTAATGCCACGTAACTCAGTTTCCCTTTTCTGTAAAATGGGCACAGTGACACTGGCTTCCTGCCTGATTCACTGAGCCCTGCTCTAGACAAAATTCCCATGCAAGAGTAAGTGCTTAGTGATTTATTAACGAGGGTGTTAATAATCCTGCCCTTCAGTTAGAGGGGGGGGGATGTCTGAGCAGGGACACCAGGGTGGAGTGGTCTGGGTCAGTGTGTCTCATCGCTGAGCCTTGATTTTTAAAATTGCCTGCATTCTTTTGGAAATGGCTGGCTTCCATCAGCTGGATGCTTCATGGCTTGGACTGAATGTGAATGTTAGGGATTGGTCCCTGGGAGCCTGGCACTGCCCCCATCTGGCCACCCGCACTGGGATTGGGGCCTGGCACCGCCCCCCCCAGTCCCCCTCAGGTGAGATTGGGCCCTCAGTTCAGGATCTCTTGCCAGATCCCCTGACCTTGGTTTCTGGTTCAAATGGGTGCCTTGCACACAGATGGTGTTTGCACCTGCAGCTGTGGTCCTGGGGAGCTGAAGGTCTAAGGCTGAACGCTGCCCTTGTCTTCCTACCCCTTTTTTATGCTCTCAGCTCCCTCCAGAGGCAGCCAGTTAAGGCCAGTTGATCTGAAAACCACTTTAAAATGGCTTAAATGCCTCAGCTTCCCCTCACCGTGGTTCTCAGCCCCGCCCCCACACACTCCCAGCCCTCTCCCTTTCTGCCTGGTTAAGAGGCTTTGTGTGTGATCTGGGAATGGGCTATGGGTGACCAGATGGCAGCTGTCACCTCCAATTACACGCGAGCTTTGGGGCCTTCAAAGTAGGCAATTACATGTGACAAATGGTGTCGTAGCAGTATGCCTGGGTGTCCAGGCTTCTGCTAAAAAGATTGTGGGGGGGGAATCTAGGTTGAAAAGCGAGTAAATAAGCAATTTTTTGCCTGGTAGATTCCCCTCCGAGCTGCCTAGATGGTTTGATTGGGCTGTGCCCCTCCCTGTTGCCAGGGAGATGGGGGGATTTGTTAGCAGTGTCCCCAGTCTATCAGCCAGGATACATCTCTCGAAGCTGCTGCATGTAAGCAGGGAAAGCTGTGCTGGACGGATCCAGCAGAGAAATGGGGCGCAGGGTATTGATGGAGACAGAGCAAATCTGAAGGATGTAAAGGCATCTCCATACCACGGGAGGCCTCAGCCCAGCTCAGTTATGGGGCTCGAGACCAAGCGGGAGCTGGCTGGTCTCTTCCTCCTGGGATCTCTGGGCTAGTGGATCTGAGGGTCCCTTCTGCTTCCAGTCCTGCCCCTGGCAGGCTGGGGGAGTCGGGCAGGAGCTGTGGCTGTCCAGTGCCCCTAGCCGGGTCTGCTGTGCAGCTGCCCTGATCACAGCTTCTGTTTGAGCAGGTCTGAGAGCCCATGAGGGTCTCACTGTGTCTGTCTCCTCCCCAGGGATGCCGCCAATGCAGGTGCATCATGGACCCCCTGGCATGGGCCAGCACCACCCGGGACCCCCGGGCTCTGGCGGGCAGCCCCCACCGCGCCCACCCCCTGGCATGCCGCACCCGGGGCCCCCACCTATGGGCATGCCGCCCCGTGGGCCACACTTCGGGTCCCCCATGGGTAAGTACAGGTGTGGTGGAGGGGGAGAAATGGGACTCCTGAGTTTGCTTCCTGCCCCTGGCACCGACTTATTGTGGGACCTTGATCATGTTGCTTCATTTTGCCCCCCATCCACAAGTGGGGGTGGGGAGATCTTACCCAGAGTTAGAATCATAGAAAGAAGAACTGGAAGGGACCTTTAAGATTATCAAGTCGGGTCAGGTCCCCTGCCATGGGCAGGAGGTAATTGGGCTCAAACGAGCTCAACAAGTTATTTGTCCAACCTCCTCTTAAAGACCACCTCTGCTGGAAGTGTTCCAGATTCTAGTTATCCATACAGAAAAGAAGTTTTTCCTTATGTCCAGCCAAAACTTTTCCTTGACTAGCTTGTATCCATTAGTCTGTG